ATTAAATGCCAGACATTTCATGTTGTCTCACAGTCCGACTTCTTTATAAAAAAAAAAAACATTTTGTGTAAGATGAAAAAAAAACAAGTTTTCCGATCAACTTAATTTTGACACTCATTATTTTTCATTTCTTGAAATGAAAATTTTAAACAAATTTTCCCATAGATTAAAATGAAAAAAATATGATTTGGTGTTTGTCTTAAATATATTAAATTAAACTCAAATCAAATCATTTAAATTCTTTTAAAAATAAACTAGGTAAAATTTTAAAACTACAAAATAATTATATTTTAAAAACAAACTTCCTTATATAACTTTAAGTCAATCAAATATAAATCTATTTAATTTTTTGAAAATAGTAAACAGTGCCTTCAACCTAAAAAGAAAATATTTGTATGCATTTTAATGGTCCCACTTGGGGAGATGCTACTGTATTGGCCTGGATTTCTGTCAAACTTGTCATTCTATCAGTTCCCCTATTGATTGCCTCGTTTTACGCGAAAAGCGAAGATTATTTGCTGGCCATAAATAGAGGTAATTGGTCATTGCAGCCATATTTCATAACGCACCAGACATTTGCGGTGCTCAATCAATATCGAACGCTTGATCCCCCGTGTCGCCCCATTCGGGATGTGTTTGTTTGGCTAAATTTAATTAAAATTTCATTGCTGCCCCCCCCTCCACCGAACTTTGCGCCACCCCTTGTTTGTTGAGGGTGTCCATGAGCTCCTGATGCCATGACGATTAGATTTTATTAAAAAGCCAAATATGCACAATTATTATGCTACGCCAACCACTTGACAGTCCGCAAGCACGGAATATATATATGTATATATGCGAGGGGTGAAGAAATGAGCCCGATGTTGAGGGTGAGGGTGAGGCATCTAGCTCATCTAGGACATGCGGCCACTACCACCACTACCACCATCGTAGTCATCATCATCATCCACATCATCCGACTGTTAACAATGCCTCAGACGCATTGCTCTCTGCTGTCTGCGGTGGTCCTTTTCCTTTTCCTTTGCCGTTAACCCCCTCACCCCCTAGCCCAGGACCTCCCCTCCCGCTTATTTGCTTTTTAATAAAACAGGTGCTCGACCTTCAGCCATCAGTGGGTGGTGGTGGTGTGAGTGGGCCCCTGTGCGTGTGTCACTGCTATCTTTTATCATTTAATTTCGCATTCAAACGTTTCGCACCCTCGGCATCAAAAGGATATGCAGTGAAAGGATCACCGGGACAGCACACACAGAGTCCTGATTCCGCTCCTGCTGCCAAAAGTGCGTGCGGTCTTCACTCCACTCGACATTTGGACGAAGGACGACGGACGAGGGACGATAAAGCGACGGACGACGGACGACCCTGCGTTGTCATTTTTCATTTCGCTCACAACCCCCCGTTCGCATAGCCGAAATTTGTATATGTCGAAAAGTCCAACATTCCATGCCGGCAAAGGGACGTGGCGATGGAGGTGGAGGGGTAAGGACGGGGAAGGAGGTCCTGGACGGGGGAAAAAGCCAGGCAGCTTCATCCGGATCCGGCAATTAGGCCAAGCGTAAAGCGTGCTGAAACTATTGAAAAGGACAAGAGAGATATATAGAGTCAGCGCCCGACACTGCGAATTTGGTGAGTTTCGGGGGGAATTGCGGGGTCTGTGCGTGTATGCCAAATCGTTTTGTGATTGCCGAAAGCTGTCTTCGGACTTTATTGGTTTTTTGGAGCGAGATTTCATCAGCACTGTCAGAAAAAAGTATGGAACTAAGTCAAATATAATCCAATATAATAATCAAAAGTGTTTCACTAAGATGCTAAAATAGAATTATAAGTGGTAATTTAGGCATATTAAACATTGTTATTTTATAATTTTGAGTACCGATACTAGAAACTGCTACAATCAAAACGATGAAACTAATGCTTAAAAACCTGATTTAGTAAATAATGTTCTCATGAAAATAAGTTTATTAAAAAAATGTTAACCATAAATGTTATTCTACAAAATAAAAATGTATTAAAATCTCATAAAATCATTTTAATTTTATTTATATCATACAAAAGTAAATACTTTGTGGAGGAATATTTTTTTAAACTTAAAGTTTGTTGATTTTGTAATTTAATTATTATTTTTTTTTTAAATAGAACATTCATTTAAGTATCTTATCTCACAAACATATAAAATAGTGGTTATAAGTTTCCTGGCAAAGCATTCGCTGACTAATATCCTGTAGCAAAACTATTGTACCATCTTTCTCGCAGTGCACTCGCATTGAATATTGTTTGAGCATATTTGGACAATCATTGCTATTATCAAAAGTCATTGACACCCTTTTATTTATTTTTACATTTATTGTTTTTCCTCGCATCGCCCCCTTAGATATCCTTGCGATAATCGCTTACATGCCACTTGTCCTTGTGCGAGGGGATGCTCAAAGATGCAGGACCGAGAGGGGGAAGGGCGAGAAGGGGGGTGGTGAGGGACAATGCCGTGAAATAAGGATTAATGGTGTACACGATTATTTGTGCCGGGTGACTGAGAGACAGACAGACGGTCGGTGGGACGAACAAACATATTAAAAAATACAATACGAAAACTGTCGCGAGGGCGGCAAAACAGGATATTCATGGGCTGTGGCGCGCAAGGATATATTCATGGGGTGGCGTAGGTCGAATTTAATAAAACGCTCCTTCCGCCGGCAACATCTCGAGTGTTTATCCTGCGGATGCGAGGGGATGCTGGTTGCGATTTCGCCACGCTTCTGGTTGGCTGGCCGAGTTCACTTTACCATCATCCTGTCGGCTTTTCTTCTTCCGCCGAGGGGTGCAAACTGCTCACTGCTCACTGCTCACTGCTTAGTGCCTGACAATTGTTTGCCCTGCCCGGGATTTTCCTTTTGCCCTTTTCTCGTGTATGATGAAGAATTTATTTGAAAATTAAGAAGACAAATTATTTAATTTCGACTTTATGAGCTTTTTTCACCGCCCCCTCTGCGAGTGCTCGAACTTTAAATGCGAAACGGACGCGAGCGATTTCCAGGAAAAGGGTTCGCTGGCGGCCATTTTGAGCGCGGAAAAGGCGCTTTGCATTTTATGCCCGACGCGGTAATAAACACGCAGCTAGCGCTTAGAAAACGAACTGGATTGGAGTGGAGTGGAGAGGATGGGGGGCTGTGGAGGCAGTGAAGGCAGTGGACTTGGCACGAGCACGCCACAAACTTAATTTCATTTAGTTTTATGTACATTTCATTAAGCAAAAAATGTCCAGGCTTCGCGACGGCGACCAACATTGAAGTGTCCGGAACTCGGACTAGGTCCTGCATACAAACCGACTATACAACTATACGACTATGTGACTATGCGACTATGCGACCATGCGACTATTCCTATAGCGGTGGCGATGGCGATGGCGACTTGGGGACAATCAAGATAAATAGCAAACGGAATTTTTATTGCCGAAAGGATACGACGAAGGACGAAACAAAAGGCAGCCCAAAGAGTTGAAAGTGTTGACGTGACTGCTGTGTCCTGTGGCCTTTGTCCTGGATGTGTGCAGCCAGGATGGTCTCACAGTAGCACAGTCTCAAACAAACCGACCCGACGACACACACACAGAAACACACACACATAAACACACACGGCCACGGAAAATTGTCAGAATGTTTTGTATTTTCCAAATTTATTGCCGGTGGCCGCATTTTGTTGTCGCTGCGACCATAGATTATCTCATCGTTTAGGAGGGCCTAATATGCGCCGGAGGCAGTCGCAATATGATTTATCGCCGACCTACCGATATATGATCGTTCCGGGTTTGTTTACCTATCCTTTACCTTTGTTTTATCCTTCCACCTTGACGCTTAACGCTTTCAACAGCTCCAGCTGCGAGCCGAACATTTTTAATTACGCTTTTTACAAGAAAATTAAATGGCAACATGTCATCACTAATTAAATTGTTCTTTCCTTCGGTTTCCCAGTTCTTCATGGTTATCCTGCGAGTGTGTGTGTGTGGAAAACGAGGAAGGAGTTGGGGCAAAGGGTTGTGCTAGATGACTGCGTTGATAATCCCAGGGAAATACATTTATCAAACGAGGCGATAGTGCGGCCTAGGGCACGGGTGATTATGTTGTTGCTGGGCGGAGTATTTAAACTATATCTGTCATTGGTCATTAATGATCAGTCATTTCAATTATGCTACTTATAAAGGTAAATGAAGACCATTAAATTATATCCTTCATTAATGTTTCAGTAATTAATTCAAATTAAATAAAGCGAATTGTTTTCATAATTAACCAGATCGAGGCAAAGATACCCAAAATGTATAAATTTTATTAAAATGTTGAAGTATAGTGTAAATACTGCTTAAGCATTGAAAATTCACTAACTAACTGCATATACTCGACATAGAATATTTAATAAACGGAATACCAAGATATGTTTTCGTTATCGAGTTAACTAATAATAGAAATGTACACGAATTATGCGTTATATTTTATTAAAGCCTTTTGATTTTGATAGATTACATGTACTTTATATTGACATATATAATTCAATTTCAATTGTTTTAATATATGCACGAACACTAAAAACATTGACGTACAAAATCAGTGAAGTAATATTTAAAACCAAATTCAAGTTCGGCGGGCAGAAATCGTTTCACAACACTCCTTTGCATCATCTTTTTCAACACTATTGCGATATCGAACTGATTCGATCATTTTTAAATAAACATTTATTATTTAGCGGATACTTACTCCGCCTGTAGCGAAGACACACCCCACATATAGCAAAGACTTACTCCACAGTTAGCAAAGACGCTTTTCACTTTTTAGGCTTTCCTTTAATATAATTTTGTCAATTTCTTTCTTTACGTTCCATACATACATGATGGAATTAATAATTTAAACAGAACTATAATTTTTAAAAAATATATCTTTGAAGATGGGAAAACAACGATGAGCCATGCCAAACATCGATGGGACCGATATTTTGGAAATCATCAATGCTGGCATCGATGTTTCTCCACCTCTAGGTTTTATATCGACGTTTCGCCACCTCTATCGTGGAAACCTTTGCGTGATTCGCCATACGAAATTACTCAAGGAAAGGTTAGTAAAAATAATTTAAAAAGTAGGCTGTGCGACTGTTGTTAGTTGACTTTAGAGAGAAAACGCAAGGCCTGCTCCGTTTCAAGTGTGGTTCTAAGTTTTTAGCCTTAAAATTTTCCACGATGTGCGAGAGAAAACCGATTAGATTGTGTGTGTATAAGTGTGTGTCTGTATGCACGTCCTCGTTTTTTCACGGCGAAAAGTCAAGATGTGAAATCAATAAAAGTGCGAAACCCCATTAGATGCCTTCGTCACTCTGGCAAGCTCAATATTTTGAAGAATAAATAGGCGAAATCGCAGCAAACAAAAGCCAACTCAAATGATTCACTCCGAAAAAAACACACAAAGAAAGTTTCGCCCGCATGAGTATGTGTAGGTACACCTATTTATGCCACAAAATGGCGGCTGCACACGGAAAATCTCAAATGCTGTTGACGTTGTGGCTGTTCGAGTTATCTGTAGCAAACCCCCCTCCCCCTGGTGGCTGCCACCCCTTGCGTTGGAGTTTATTCTAATTTCACAGCTTCATCTTTGGCGTGTGCCTTTTATTTGCTCTCTGATCTCTCGCACACACGCGAACTTCTGTTTGTGTGGGTGCACTTTGTTCGCCTTGCTTTCGTCACTATCTGAGAAATTGATTGCCCATCCATGGGTTTTGTTAAAGATATTTGCTCTTGGAGCCCCCAAAAAAATACATTTTCAATGTGGGTGTGCCACTTAGCCAGTTAAATATGCAGACAGCGACAAACACTTGTACACGAGAGCCGAACGCTCGAATTGAGGTCAAAATCATCCCCAACTTGGTCTGGGTACCGTGGGTAGGGGGTTATTTCCTTGGGTCGGGGTCGACGCCTCGCTGCAGTAGAGGGTGGGTTTTCGCATTGGGGGTGTTTAGTTTGGCTTTTCACCGAAGACATTATTGCAGGCCCAAAAAATATGTATGTATGTACCCTACGCGCGCAAAGACACTGCAGGGTGGTTGTAGCTACATGTAAACTGGAGAAATTTAAACAGAGACCTCGTCCTATCGCCAATCAATTAAGCGTAATAGACGTGACTCAGCTAATCAGCTTTCCATCCCCCTCTTGCTGCGACTCTGTTTGTTTCCCGGGGTCAAGAGACTTTAATTCCATGGCGCAGAAGACCAGCATCGTGTGTGAGCGGGATAGCTTACGGACTGGAAAGAGGGAGAGATGGAGATCCCCAAAGCTGAGGCCATAAACCCCAACACAAAGAAAGGACACTGACACACAGACGCAGGTTCTAGTTCTTTTTAGTATGTTCGCTTGTGCTTGTGGGGAGAACGCGCGTCAAACAAAGAAAGCGAGAACAAAGAAGTGCAGACAATAACAAATGAGTCAATCAAGCGAAAGTAACTTGACAAAAAAATAACGTTAGCAACTGCTTAGTTGAAGCTAGCTGGCATTGACTAAGCCTGTGATTAATTAGAATCTTCCCAGAACTTTGTATCCAGCTGGCAATGCCACACACACACACACACATTTAAGTGGGGAGAATGCGGCAATTGGCGGGAGAGAGTGGGACAGAGAGTGGAATAAACTTGAAGGTGCTCCTCGAGGTTATTTCCATTAAATGCATATTTTCCAGTTTGCTTGGCAAGTGCTGTGATTGTTATTGTTGTTCGCAGTGAAATCGAGTGTAAACAAAAACAATCATTTGTGATTTGTTATTTAAAGCTTATTAAATCCCTCTGGCACATCACCTTTATTTTGTATTGTTGTCACAATTGTACGTAATATAGTTGATTCGTCTGGTCCTAGATTTTTTTCGTGTACTCTGTATATTTAGTCTTTTTCTATTCTTTTCTCTTCTTTATTAACTTGCAACGGTGGCCTGGTCTATCCCGTTTTTACCGATTTCTCTGCAGGATTTCCCGCGAAAACGTAAGGCAATACCCAGTGTGACGTAACCGAAACGGAGAGACTAATCCCAGGTGTTACCACGCAGGACTTGTCACTTACAACCAGGAGTAAACCAGACACTCGGACTCCAGGACTCCGACCGGAAGAAACAACAACAATATCATCTCAACTATCGACGGAATATCAAACCATCCACACCCTTTGTCTCTGTGTGCGTACGCGTGTGTGTGTTAGAATTGTGTGCGTTTCGTTGAGTGTCCCCAAGGATCATTAGAACCGACCAGACCAGGATCACCGGACCAGATCCAGATCCCCATTCAGCGGGGAAACCAATCAAGACGCCAAGAGGAACCCACTCCGTGCAACCCACGCACGTACCCATTTCGCCCCCGAGTCGATCCAGAAAAGCATCCACCATTCCTCTATCAACGTACGACGCCGCTCCCCTTTTGCACTCTTACGACGACAGTCCGCAGCGTTGGGACCTATCCAACGGGCACCAGGCAGGCGTCATCATAGATCAGTTCCGGGGCGGTAAAGCGATCACCATTGAGGGAGGCACCAGCACCGGTGATACGGCGAGCATCGGCGGCGGCAGCGATTTACGACTGGTAATAACGGCCAATCCCAGCGAGATCGAGCGCAATTACGAGCAGCCAACCAATCGCGGTGGTGGCGGAGGCGGCGGCGTTATCGGCGTCAGCTGCGGTGGCCAAACCCCACCGACACCCACGGTCGGCAAAACCCTGCTGAACACCAGTCCCAATCTCCTGCCGATCACCACAGCTACCGATACGTTCAACAACCTCAAGAACCTGGTGAAGATCGATAAGGGCTCCTCGCCATCGTCGGGATCGAATCCGCAGGGCGGCGGCAACTACCGCAAGGGCGGCTCTAACGGCTCAGGCTTCAAGAGCGGCGGCGGTGCCGGAGGCAACGGAGGAGGATCTCCGGCCATAAGCGGCGGCAACAGCGAGGGCGGCAGGAACGGCAGCCGATCATCTGGTGGACCAACCGGACACTTTTCCACTGGCTATAGCAAGAATTCCGCCAAAATTCGCCAACACGACAGTGAGGTAAGCCCAAGACCTCGACGATCTTACCAGGGTGACTCGTCGTCGTCGCGTTACTATCCGAAGAATAGTGACATTTTGGGTCAAGGCTTAAGCGGCAGCTCCGACAGCTACAACGGCGGCTCCTCCGGCAGATACCAGCAGGACCAGCAAGGCGGATCGCATCGTGGTAGTCGCAACAACTATCACTCCAACTCCGATGGCAGCTACAATCGATCACTAAACTCGAACTCCGTTGGTGGAGGATCGGGAGCAGTCGGCGTCGGCGGCTCTGGTGGTAGCGGCGGTGGCAGCAATTATCGCTCCGCCCGCAACTACGAAAACGGCAATGGAAGCAACGGCCCACAGTCACGTTACGGCAGCGGCAACGGGAACGGCAACGGTAACAGCAATTCCAACTCCTCATCCGGCTACAACGGATCTGCAGCGAGCTCAACTAACAGCAAGTCGTCGTACGGGCAATCGCGCGGTGGCAACGATGGAGGCGTGAGTGGCGGATACAGCAGCAACTATCGCGATAACTACGAGGACTCACCGTCGCATCAGCGCTACACCAACACCAACAGCCTAGAGCGTAACGGAGGCGGATCGGGGGCAGGAGCGAGCGGAGGACCTCGCAGCTACGGCAGGTCGGAGGCGGATCGTTACGGAGCACCGGCCAGTCGCACGCCAACCTCGCTTCGCAACGGAAATGCGTCTGCTCAAATTTCTGGCTCCACTTCCAACTCTTCGAACATTTCTCTAAACTCATCAGCGGCAGCAGGAGGTGCAGCTCCGCATTCCCAGCAACAGCAGCACCAGCAGCATCAGCAGCAGCAGGAGCGATCGCAGGCGAACAAGGCAAGCACTCCGCCACCGATCACCGGACGCTGGATACCACCTTCGCTGCGCCCGCAGCATGGACTTACCCAAAGCGAGAAGAACGACGCCGTGTTCCGGCGCGTGAGGGGTATCCTGAACAAGCTAACGCCCGAGAAGTTCCAAGAGCTGAGCGATGAGCTGCTGAAGCTAGACCTCAACTCGATTGTTATTCTGAACGGCGTGATATTGCTGATCTTTGACAAGGCCTTGGACGAGCCGAAGTACTCGTCTATGTACGCGCAGCTCTGCAAGCGACTGTCCGAGGAAGCCCCGTCATTTGATAAGGAACCGAACAATTCGTGCACCTTTTTGCGCCTACTGATCGCCGTCTGTCGCGACAAGTTCAACAACCGACTAAAGCGTGACGAAAACGACAACCGTCCGCCGCCCGAAAATGAGGCCGACGAGGAGGAGCGCCGCCATTTGGCCAAACAGCGCATGCTCGGCAACGTCAAGTTCATCGGCGAGCTCAACAAGCTCGACATGCTGTCGAAGACCGTGCTGCATCAGTGCATCATGGAGCTCTTGGTCAAGAAGAAGAAGCGTACGGCCGGTGCGCAGGAAATGTGCGAGGACATGGAATGCCTGGCTCAGCTGCTCAAGACTTGCGGCAAGAATCTGGATTCAGAACAGGGCAAAGAGCTGATGAACCAGTATTTCGAGACGCTTGAACGTCGGTCAAAGTCATCTGAATATCCACCGAGGATACGCTTCATGCTAAAGGACGTCATCGAGCTGCGCCAGAACCATTGGGTGCCGCGCAAGCTGGGCACCACTGAAGGCCCCGTCCCCATAAAGCAAATACGCTCGGACGACGACTCGATCATTCGCACCCCGTTCCCCAATCGCAACCGGGACATGCGCAACAACGATCGCGACTCGGACAGCTGGATGAATAGGTTCCATTTGAATATCCAGCCTGGCGGCTACAATGACATGTTTAGCGGACTGAGTGTCACGGGCGCTTCTCCGATTGTCTCGCCGTAAGTACTTTTATTTTACTAATTAAGGAATTGTTTGCCTTAAAGTTTAAACCAATAATCATAAAATAGAAAAATACTATATTTTAAAGGGCTCAGTACTCAACAGCATCAAAAACACCTGATTTAATATAATTTGTTGTGTGTTTTAGGTTTGCTACCAGCAATCGTGACCGAGATCGCGATAATCGCCAGTACAACAATCGTGGCGATCGCAATCGGGATCGCGACCAAGGAGGCGGCGGGCCAGCCAACTATGGCAATCGCTACAACAAGCACAACCAGAATGGAGGCGGAAACGGCGGCGGAGGAGGAGGCTCCTCCAACAACCGGGACAGAGACGACTCGCGTCGGAATAATGATCGGGACAGGGATCGCAATGATGGACAGTATGGGGGCAATCAGCTGCTGGGTAGTAAGGAGTTGGCACCGCGGTTCAAACGCAACTTGATCACCACGAACCAGGATGCGGTGGAGAACTTGCAGATGCGCCCGGCAGCCAACTCCTTGCTTTTCCGAGCGGCCTCCCAGAACCAGAAGTTCCCGGCCACACTGCCCATGTCCACACCGCCCAACAACAGCGGCAGCAACAACCAAGGCGGTTCGCAGGGCAAGGATCAGGGCCAACTGTCGAATTCGCACTATCCGCTGCTGGGCACGCCAACCTCCCATCTGGTGAATCCAACACGCCCCTCGTCGACCCCATCCGCTGAGTACGCCGACAACCGTACACTGCTGGGTGTGCAGCACGAGAGGGGTTTGAAGGCAACCTCTTCGTCGCCAAACTTTGGATCGGGAGCGGAGAAGTTGAGCGAACAGATGGATGGCCCGGCGGGCAGGAAGGGCTCGCATGACGGCAAAGATCTGGCCAAGAATGGCTCCGTGGAGAGGCCAAGCACTCCGGTCGCTGGTAATGGGTCGGCCAAGCAGCAAAAGAAGGACAAGGGTCCCAACAAGGAGGAGCTGTCCAAGAAGGCCACCCAGTTCTTTAAGGATAAGTTCTTCTACGAAGAAGAGGAGAAGGAGGATGAGACGAAGGCGCTTTCTGAGGTGAAGGATGATGATGAGGCCAAGGCAGCGGAAACGGAGTCTGCTCAAGCTGAGGACTCCGAGGCAAAAGAAGATGCCGCCACACCTGCCGCCACTTCAGATCGCTTCAACGAGCTTGTTAATGAATTCCTTGAGCTTAAGCTACCAGAGAAGTCGCTGAAGGATGTGTGCATCAACCTGCTGATGGATGTGTTAGACCGCGTAAACGATGTCTACCTGGAACGTGTCGTGCGACTCCTGCAGACATTGCGCAAACAGTCTAATATCAAGTCAAACATTGTGGTCGAGGTTTTCAAGCAGTTGGTCAACAAGATGAACGAGCGCGAGGCGCTGAATCCCCGCATTGCGTCTCTCGTGGCCAGTGTTTTGGCCAAGTCAGTGTGCGAGCCGGCTCTGCTGAAGCTAAACGACATTGCCAACTTCACGGACAACGGACAGCACTATCCGCTGTTCCTGCTCGTGCTGCAGCAGCTGGTCAAGGTCATCGGTAAGGATGCGCTGGAGGAGAAGTTCCGGGCGAGCAAGGTGGATCTGATGAACAGCCTGCCGGAAGCGGATCGCAACAAGGAGCGACTGGCCGCCATACTTGAGGACCGTCAGCTGTCGTTCCTCTACCCACTGCTGAAGGTTCAGGCCGAGATGCTGAAGCAGCTGCAAAGCGATCCCAATCCCAACAACTTCTACAAGTGGATCAAGGCCAATGTGGACAACAAGTACTACAAGGACCCGGGCTTCATCCAAGCTCTCATGACCGTGGTGGTCAAGTACGTGACCAAGGAGACGACGCTGGCGGCCGGCCTGGACCCCAAGGAGCACCCGGAGAAGTCGGTGACCCAGAAGGAGCAACAGTTGCTGGAGAACTACAGCCAGATGTTGCAGACCTTCCTGGGACAGAACGAGCTGCAGTTGATGGCCCTCTATGCCCTGCAGTCCTTCTGCTACAATGAGAATTTTCCCAAGGGTAAGAACGCATATTTTCTATTTTCCTATTCCTTTTGAGGTTACTCATATTGGTTTTTTTTTCGTTTGCATTAGGCATGCTGTGCCGTTGGTTCAAATATCTTTACGAATCTGAAATTATCGAGGAGGAAGCATTCGTTTTGTGGAAGGAGGAGATTTCCGACAAATATCCAGGCAAAGGATCTGCTTTGTTCCAAGTAAACGCCTGGTTGACTTGGCTGCAGGAGGCCGAATCTGAGGACGATGAGGATTAAGAAGCATCAGTCCTGCATAACAACGCTATATGTTTATCACTTCCAATATTTATTCACAAATCGAGTATGATTACATGATGAAAAAGAAAAAAACTAACACAGAAACAAAAAAAAAACAAAAAACAAGAAATAACAAATACCAGCAGGATGGAAGTTTGAAATCGCGGTTGCAAATCTTAGTCAAATTATAGTAGAAGAAACGAAAAAAAAAGAAATTAATCAAAATTATTTGATATTCAACAAATTCAAAGAACTTTAACAACCAACTATCAATAAATAAAACGCAATAGACGCAAACATAAATGATATTTAATCCATACAACATAACCGCAAGCGAAATTAGTGAATTACCCTTGACATTTCAAACATACGAACGTAACTATATATTAGTGAATTTCATCATTATTTTTTTTTTATATATAACAACCGGAACTGATCTTTAAATCGAATATCTCTGATTTCAATTGTCTGCCTTTATTTTGGTACTCTCTCGCCGATTTCCCGATTGTGTATTTAATTAAGTAGGTCAAATCAAAACGACATCAACGTAAACATTATATAAAACAAAAAACCAATCGACGCGCGCTGAAGGGAGCGAAACAAAATCTGAATGTAATTGTGAACAAAATATCGTATATATGTATTTTAACTCAACAAACGTAAACATTAAAAATTCGCCCCCATTATATAGAGCCTTAATAAAATGCAACCAACACTGCGAACGGCGAAATGAAGATATTTTTATTGATTTTTAAAGGTGGTATGAATTTAAATTTGGCGCCAAAGCGGCTTTCACAACTGCCTATCGATTTTTTTTAAAGAAGGGAAGCCCTGGTAGCTTTTATCTAGTTTACCAACACTGGCTCGTTAAGTCAAAATCTGCATTTCATTGTTTTGTTTATACATTTTCCCTGTTAAAATATTTATAACTAGAAATACGTAACCAATGGAGGCTGTAAATGGAGATATTGTGCCGGCAAAGGTATCTGGCATTTTTACCTCACATTGCGCACACTTGGAAGCGGGACCATCGCAATTTACAGTGCGCGCCCTCAAAATGCAGGGCAGCACCATGCTGATTGTGAATCCCAAGGAATCGGAGGTTTTCGAGGAGCTGGCGGTGGCCATGCCCTCGCGTAATCCCGCCACCAGTGAGCCCATATCCTCCACAATACTGGGCGGACATGGTCAAACTGATTCCTCTGTGCTGGCCGCCAAATTGAGCAAACGCTATGGCCGGCAGTTCTATGTGAGCCTGAACCTCAAACTGGACCGACTGGTGGGCCCGCTGTTCGAGAAATCGCTAGTCACCTACATGCACGACCATCTGGAGCACTTTGCCTGAGTGTGTAGTGTAAATTTAAAACCACAGTCGCATATAATACTTATTTCTGGTTCACGTCTGCACACAGGGCCCTTGGGACCGATGACATGGCACCGCGTGGGGGTCACCATCTATTTCGGGGACCGACGGCTACCCCACGGACACAACTCCACCGTGCTATCTGGGATCTGCCATCTCCGACTCCCGATCTCCGCTCAGACGTCAGGCGGCGGCCGAGTGAGCGCGAACTTTAAAAACGTATCGCTGAAACGATTTTGTACGTTCAATAAATTGATTGCCCTAAGTAAGTTTACAGACCAGACCGCCTTATCAATTGTGTCGCGATAGTAGAGTGCTAAATGTAAGAAGAGGTCACCCACTGTGGGAGTGATCGCATGGCACCCGCATGCTATTCATGCGGACCCACTGGCCGATGACATGAAGGTCAGTTCGGCATCACCGATCGCTTGATGGGTGGGAAATCACGGAATTAATATTCGCAAGGTGCCTGGTTGTTTATGTGATGATTAGCAGGCAAACCGTTGAATTCGGTGCCCTTTTGAAAGTGAATTGTGACCATATGTTTTCTAGTACTCCAACCCACTAAATTACTGATCTCTGTTCGATTTATCTTTATCGGTTTGTCCCACTTTGTACAGTGTGCAAGTCTAGTTAGCAAAACTTTTAAAATTAATTAAAACAGGATTGGAAAATGGTGTGATTGTCAGAAAAAGTAACTATTGAACATTTCAAGATGTAAGAGGGTGCATATTCATTGTATTTATCTATATAAAATTAAAACTATAACTTCGTTCTTTAATTAGTTTTTTTTACGTCTTCAAGATGAAAGTAATATTTCACAATTACGTCTTTAACTTGCTTGCAATCGACTATATCATATAGCTCCTATGAAAACAAACGGAATTAAAAAAACAAAAATAAAAAAAATGATCACTTCTCAATTTTACAATTTTTTTGTAGTTCTTTGAGATATATTAATTCTTTAATAATTATAAATAACGCTTTTAATTTTAAAAAATTCGGACAACGTTCATTTAAAAAAAATCCTCATGTTTTCAATGGCTTAAAATAGATACACATAAAATCCAAATTTGTTTTGCTTAGAATTTATTTTTTTCTTTAGCTGCACGGGTATATGAAATATTATTTCGGCTTAAGAACAAATGCTGAATATTTTAGTCACAATCATTTATTTAATGTTGATCACTGCCAAGTTAAAAGTTCAAGTCATTTCCTGCCTGATAGTCTTAAATTGAATGATTTTAAGATCCAAAAATTGAAAGTCATTTCAGCTCTGGGTAAGCAATTTTTCAAAATCTTTCTATGATTAGGTGCACAGGTACACCGCCTGCCCCATTAACAAGTCTCGACTTTTACATTTAGTTAATACAAATTTTTGTTGAAGATATGTTTACCTCGAAAATACTTTATATCTATTGGCATTCTCAGACGGAATGTTGGCTTCACTTCCTGCCCGACAATCGTAAATCTAAATCTGGTGATAAGGTGCCTCAATTACCCCCGCCAAGAATGCCAGTCATATATAATGAAAAAGCCCCCAGCGGCGTTGTGTAATTGTTGTTGGATCACACCGCATGGATGTGCCATTGAAACTTTTCCGCTAAAGTCAAAAAAATAAAAAAAAAATACCACTAAAAACAAAAAATTCACCTTTCATAATAATGCCCAGTCTAGACGAGATATTGTCAGGCATATCAGTGGCAGTGGTAACAGAAACAATAGCATATAGCTCCTAAATAGCAACACCCATTGAATGGGTATAAAAATAGAGCCACTGCCGTAAGGTCTGCGCTCCGGGGTCTGTGGGCTCCCACGAATGTCTGGAATGCTTTTTTTTGTTTTATTATTATTTTTTTTATTTTTTTTTTTCGGTTCCCCCAGTTGCCTAAGAACTTTTCCCCTTTGGCCATATCAGACTGTCTGGCGATAAGCGGCATATAAATAATAATAGATCCCAGTCGTCCGAATTCAAGTAGCCATCATCTGTAATAAACGAATAGGTTGGTGATGAGTGCGATTCCATGCCGCTGTTGCATGTCCCCACTCGGTGTGATGACTGGCTGGCCATGGCGGTACATGGACTTTGGAAGTCTGTCGCCTGGTTGGTTGGGGCAACAAAGTAATTAGCCTTCTGCGGCCAGCATAGTCATATCAGCACCCAGTGGGTTCCACCGCTGCGATAAGCAGACTGGACTTGGACTGCACGCTCCTTCCCAAATGCGGCGACTGCACATCTGCATCTTGGCGATAAACCCCCTGGCTGGGGCGCACGCCCACCAGTCAAGTTGTACCGGTTTGGATGCCCGATCCCAATCGATCCAATCCAGCAGGCTGGGCTTATCGCACCACCAGGCCACCTTTGCCAGCCATCCAGACCCCGGCGGTTATCGGTCGAGTGTTGTTAATTTGATAGAAATATTGAACATCATCCCGACCGGTGGACTGCACACCCGCAATCCGGATCGAACCGGATCCGCCGCCGAGTTGTGTGGATTTGTTATTATTTACGCCGAGATTCGGACCACGGAAAATTAATAAGCGCACACGCTCCGGCTCCTCAAAACGGAAATTCGCCAGTGTTCGTTGGCATTCTATTCCTTTTGGCATGCTCTAAGTGCCTTATCAGCACGGAGCTTCTGGACTTTGGGAATGTCCGAGGGGGGCGGGATCATGCATCATGGTATGGATCGAGGGCAATCCGGAGGAGGCGGACAGACAATGGGGGGCTTATCGACACACAGCCGCTCGCGCCATACAAAGTTCACACTGGCAGCAAGAAAATCCGGATTTTTTTTTACTCTTATTCTGGGGGGGGACTTTATTTTGCGTTGGCAAAACATAAAAATTAGGTTGCGTCTGGGGTCCTTCATCAAGGCCGCACTTTGGCTAGATTCCGCTGAACTGACCTCGCCATGCGCAACTGTACTTTAGTGTTTAGTGGGCTGATTGTATACTATATAAATGGCACCCTATCTATTTATAAATCATGATTCCGCATCTGGTCGGGTGACTGGAAACTGGATGGGGAACTGGAACTGGAAATGGCAATGAGTTCACGTTCACGTACACGTCCACGTCCACATCCACCTGTCGCAAGGGCTTATCAAAGTCCCTGATGTCATGTTGTCTTTACGTAAACCCCGGGGAACCCACTCGGCGGCCCGTGCAGTCAGTTGGATTAGGATGGGTGGTAGTCGATGGGTGGGCTGGCGCTGGCTCTGCAGATTGCCACTGGACGTAGCGAAGGTGGAGCGAAGGTTGCTCCGCCCGTGATTCACGGGCCCAGACAGCGATAACAATGGCTGATAGCCACCAGCACCCAGCAGAGCTTCGTGGTCGTGGCATTCGCGACATGGCGCAGAAAGTTTTAGGCCCAAAAGATATGGAGCGGCGGCATGTGGCGGCGTCTGTTGACTTGGCGTGAGATAACCAACCACCTTATCGCAGCCAGCAGACCACACACTGAGGTGCAAAACGGCAGCCAAACCCAAGAATGAATTCTGGGTTCGGAATAGTACGCTCAGATATATAGATAGCCTTACTATGCCCAGATAAGGTGATACAATTATAAATGCCAAAATCGTTCTTACAAAACACTTTTAATGTAATATAAAAATACTGCCTTTAGTGTCCTAAAATAGAATATGGTAAACATTTTCTAATCAGGTTTTTATTTTAATATGCGCCTTAGTCCTTACATTACATTAATCACCACACTGAGGTAAAAACGGGAAGTAACCCCAAGAATGGAAAAAAATCTTAGATATCTATATTTATAGTTAGTTTACTATTGCAAGATAAATGATTAAAATTATAAACGCAAAAATAATATAATAAGACATGGAAATGTGTTTGTTTAATGTGTTAAACTATATTATGATAAACTTTTTATAATGTGACCAATACTTGGAGTTGAGCCTTCGTATTTCAAAACTAAACTCTTTTTAGATTTTCAAAAATTTTTTCATCAATTTTTCAAAATTTTTCAAAGGTGCACATGCATAATAACCTTTCTTTCATATTAAAACAGAAGAGAATTCAAATTTAAATGATGGCAACATTATTTAGTGTACTAAATAGTTTTGAGTGTTTCAAAGCTTAAGATTTATTTAATTTATTAACATTTCAATTTTGGATACATTTTGAAATTGTTTTAATTTTTCAAAACCAAAACAATGTTTAATGGAATATTCCTCAAAGTGCCTTTAAGCTTTGTTTACAAATTTGAATTGCTATTGACAATGATGGGTGGGTGATCTTGTTGTTGGTTGTTTATTGTTTCTAGAGTATGCAATCTCAAGGCATGACAGCTCATTCTAGAATCTAGACCCCGGATTGAACCGAGTCTGCTCATACTTCCTTAGCAATACGCACCCAATAGAGTTTTCTCTAAGTGAACGGACCCAGATGTTGACGTCTTTGCTCGAAGCGAAAGGGTGGGGCTCGGGAGGGGCTGGCTGATTGGGTTCGCAGGGTGGGGTTGCAGGGAATTCGCTGAGCGGTACGAAGTGCAAGTCAGGCAGACGGCACCGGGCGATAAGGCTTGCCCCCCAAAGAGCGATCATTGGGCACACACATGCACATACATACGAATGTTGGCTGGATTTCCACTTGTGCGTTGATAAGCGGACTCAGACCAGGTCCCCTCTAGTCACTCCCTACTATATATATGTATATATATATATACATATGTACCTTCCAGTACGGAGTTTCACTCACGTAGTGTGTGCTTTTGCCCCAGTTCCACTTGTAGCAGTGGATTTTTTCCACCGCCCCTGCTACGCACCTGCTCTTCGGCGCTCCAGTGTTTTTTTTCGTTCCGTCTGCCGCCCCCTCCCTTTCGCCACGCCCCCGCGGCGGACCCGTCTGCAGCCTTCGGCGCTGATAAGCGCTCCCTGTCCGTCTGGTCGACCCCTTATCGCCGGCCGACTTTCGCATATTACCCGAACGTCGGCGGTCGAGCGGCTCATTCGATCGCCAAGCGCTTTAGCGAAAGCACAACCAACATTTCTCAGTCACCATGGATATAGTACAAAAGTCAATCTTCAACAGCGGCCCAGTCAGAGGGATATACGAGCCGCCAGTCGGCTACTACACGCCGTACAACACTCCGCCGTACATAGCTGCCTATTCGGATTCCGGTAGTTGGTTACCAGCCCCAGATCATCATCATCAGCAGCAGCAGCATCATCAGCAGATGCAGCACATCAGGTTCCCCACTCCGCCAGTCACCCCGCCGCGTCCTGTTGCCGGATACGGATACCACCACCAGCGCACCCAGTCCGTGATCATGAAGGCCCAGGGGCAGCAGGACGACCTCTGCAGGAGTCCCGAGGAGTTCCCCACCGACGACACCAAGTCCTGCAGCAGCGGCAGCGAGTGCGGCACAGCCAGTGACTTTGTGTGCAACTGGACCGAATGTGATAGGTAAGCATCCACATCTATATATATATTTGGTGGGATAATTTAGGAGAAAGATTATCTAATTTGATATTCACTTTTATTAGATTTATTTTATTATGGATTTATTCAATGGCTTCTTGTGAAACCATTTTATTCTACTAAAAGAAAGAATAGATATTAAAAAAAAACATATTTGCAAAACCCATATTGAAAAATATTTCAAGATACTAAAAAAAAGTTTTGGCAAACCCATATTTAAAAATTGTTCAAGTAAATAATTTGTTTTAATTAAATTATAATTTAACCTAGTTTAATCGTCACTATCATAGGAAAAGTAGATTGTCTGTGGAAAAATTGAACTCAAGATTTAACCAAAGGATTTTACTAAAATTATTTTTAGCTTTATATTTAAAGCAAGAATAATATTAAATTTACTAAAATATCTATACAAAAATACATTTAATTTTAAAATCAAAATTAGTATGTTTTAAAATGAATAAATTTAAATATATATTTTTTAGACCATCCAAAAAATAATCCTATAAAAAAATACTTCTTAAAAGCATATGAAACCACTTTTTTTTTATGAATTTTGAGATTTACGACTTTTTCTACAGAAACATATAAAATATAATACACCTTTCCCTTGCAATTTATTTATAAAACTGATTACGCATTCTACAGAAAAATCCAGCAGCCTGGTTTTTGTTTGAACTGTTGGACTGGACTTTCTGATAAACAAGTTGGATACATCGAATAGCGATAATAATATGATTTTGGGTCAAAATGATAGGACTAAATTCGAATTTATGGTCAGGGAAATGATATGATTTGGGGATAAATTTGATATGATAAAGATACTTTTCAAGGCAAAAATACATGTATATTTAACTTATATTGTTCTTCACTAAAGTTCGATTTTCCTCTGATCATTACAGGATTTTCGACACATTGGAGGCACTGGCGCAGCACGTGACCCAGCGGCACGCGATCGCCTCCCTCACAGACGGACTCTACTACTGCCGCTGGAGAGGATGCCAGCGCAGCGAGCGGGGATTCAATGCCCGCTACAAGATGCTCGTCCATACCCGCACCCACACGAAGGAGAAGCCGCACCGGTGCCACCTGTGCGAGAAGTCCTTCTCGCGGGCAGAGAACCTCAAGATCCACATACGGTCGCACTCCGGCGAGAAGCCGTACAAGTGCAGCTTCGAGGGCTGCCAGAAGGCGTACTCGAACTCCTCGGATCGGTTCAAGCACACCCGCACCCACTCCATGGAGAAGCCGTACATGTGCAAGGTGGCCGGCTGCCAGAAGCGCTACACGGATCCCTCGTCGCTGCGGAAGCACGTGAAGACGTTCAAGCACAGCATCCACCTGATCGCCAGCCAGCCTCTCATCCTGCCCAGTCCCGCCTCCTGCCTGCTGGAGGCCAGCAGCGAGTCTTCCTTCACCTGCGTCCTGGAGTCCACCTGCTCCTCCTCCTCCACCAGCGCAGCCGCCGCCGCCCGCTACTATGATGACACCAACAATGAGCCCAGTGACTACTCGCTGAAGTCCAAGCCGGATGCGGAATTCTCGCCAAGCTATTGGCTTAGCGAACGGCAGCATGGCTACCTCCAGAGCGAGGACTTCTTCGTTAAAATGGACGTGGAGTCGCCGCTGGATCTGCGCATCCACAGAATTTGAGCTGGCCCACCGCCTCTCCTTCCCCCATCCCCATCTAGTCATTGTGCTGTCTTCCACCTCTAGTCACTAAACCTAGACAGACTATCGTTTAACCTGATTAAAGACTGTTGTATTTGAAGGGCTCTGGTTTGAAATGCGATTGGATGTGGTGGTCACCAATGGACAGGGAAAGAAGTCCATTCTGGGGATAATGACTGTTTAGGTTCTGATTAATAAGTTGAAGAACTTATATTTATTTCTAATAATTTGTGACTTTTTAATCTATTGCCGAACTGTTTTCCTGTTTATATGCTAACATAATTTTTAGTTATATATATATACTTGTATGTATATATACTTATTTTTATAGAATTTTCTTGAAAATTTCCACAACTTATAATCTGTTTATAAACTCGACCAGTCTTCCCTGTTAACATGAAGTTGGGAAACCATAACGCACTGTATAGATTTACTGAATCAAAAGTTGGAATAGAATTGAATGTGGCGGTCAGAAAACTACTTAATTCTGGGATTATTTGGTTGAAGATTTTATATATTTATTTTCCCATAACTTTCCAAAGTCCCTTACGTTTTAATATGTTCCTATACTCGATCATGCTTTATTGTTTATATGTAAACATGACTTTCAGTTTCTATTTGTTCATTTATTTACACTCTAGCAAATGTTTGGAAAAAACCAAACCAAAGAAATCCGTCACAAAACTATCGACCAGTTGGGAAGCACCACGCAATCCTAATCTCTTTTGATAAGACTGTATGAACCTAGACAGATGTACCCAATCAAACAGCCCCTATTTCAGGGAAAATCCCCATTTCTAATGGCTAGACCCACAGAGGGATGGATATTTGAAAATATTTATTGTTTAAATGCGCATCTAGACAAGTATTTCACAACTGTTATAACAGATTTAATCTTTTTTGCGGCTTATAGGAATGTTAGTTGATCTAAATAACCTCTCGTTTTTATACAAACAACAAGAACAAACAAAATAAATAGCAAAAGTATTTCACATTTGAAATAGATAAATACACTTTGAAAGCGGTATCAGGGGTATACACTATATAGGTATATATGTATGCATATACATATACTGGCAACAATGCTACATAGTAGAACCAAATATTAAAAATATAATATTATTATTGTTGCACTCGCGTCATTTAAGGAAACAAATACGTTGTAGTCCCGCCCATCCGGATTTGCAGTACAGGTTGAGGTGCCCAGCATTAAACCATGTCCAGTCACAGTCATTATGCTCTAAAAAACCTTACAACTCGTACAATATATTGTCGGCAAATGGGGCACTCGTTTAGCACTTTCCCACAGCTTGTGCAGGTTGCCATGTGGCCGCATTCCAGGAACACGCACTCGATGGGCGCATCCATGCAGATTTTACACAGCTCGTCCGTGGGCAGTTTCTCCACAGCTGCGGGGTGTTATTCGAGAATTAGTAGGGTTTCATTAATGGTTTGAGGTAACAGCTTACCGGGAGACTCCCTCATGGTTTTCCACAGCCTGCTGACGCGATCCAGCAGCTCCTGCTTCTCGCAACAGCCTTTATAGTCGACGCGGTGCAGCATGAGCACCTCCTTCAACTGCTTCACCGTCAAACCTTCCAATTCTTTTCTGTATAACAAAAGAAAACACACATATGTATTAAAAGAATCTATTCCAGATTCACGTGGAGATAAGAGCACTTACAAATCCTCAATGTCTTCCAAATTGACGAAACGCGAATCGAGACCAGCGGCCGGCTCAAAGTCCAATGGTGCCGCATACACGTGAATGCCCTCGTCGTCGTCCCAGCGCATGTCATCGTCCTGCGTGGGCGAGAACTCAATGGTCGGTGTGATGGGCATCATGTCGGGGGATCTGCCGCCGGCAGCCACACTGATGGCATCCACGCTGAGCGGAGATACCGCGTGGCTGTCCGCATCGGAGACGTCCACCGACTTGGTGCGCTGCTCCAGGTACGTGAGGAACTCCTGCAGCTCCCGCTTGATGTCCTCCTCGGACATTTGCGAGTTCTCCAGATGGCGTCGCATCTTCTCCACATGTCGACGGATGTTCGTCTTGTTCTTGCCGCAGCGCTGGCAACTTTGGCGATGCGAGTGCCCATGGTGGCCGGGCTCGGGCTGCTCGCTGAGGGTTGAGAGGCCCAGGCTCAGGCCAGGTCCTCCGGACGCCACCGGCGACTCGTCATCGCTGGAGTGGTAGCGGCGATTCAGGTAACCATCGGACCGTCGGCGGGTCACCTTCTTTGTGCGCTGCGGCACGGCGGGATGGAACGCTGGACTTGGATTGGCCGGGCGCTGCTCTATGTTCAGCGTCTGTGTGCTCTCGCCCATCTGGCCATCGTCGCCCTCGACCGCCGGTCTGCTGCGCAGCGTCACCTCCAAGATCTCCTCGGCCGCACTCGTGGTGGGCGTCTCCTCGGCCGCCTCAATTCGGTTCACCTCCAGCACCTGCCACTGATCCAGGTGGCTGCTGTTCGTGTCCGTGTTGGCTTTGCTCTCATCGGAGATGCCCCCAATGGCGCCCAGTTCCTCGAAACTCGACTGCGAGGACGCATCCGCCTTGGAGCTGCTCGAGCCCGGCTTCGAGCAGCCCGGACTGACAGCTGTGGCGCCTTCAAGGCCTCCATCTCTATCGGCCACCAGGCCAGCAGCACCGGCACTGGGCTCGGCGGTAGCATTTGCCGCCCGGCCACTGGTATCGGTTCGGAGCGACAACGAAACGCGCTCACTGAACGTGGCCATAATCTCGTCGTCTGAACACTCGCAGTCGGATTTGCTATGCGCCTCCACCTGCTCCTCCTCCTCCTCCTCTGCCCTCTCCTCCTGCTGGTGGGCCACCTGGGCCTGGCTGCTGGAGCTGGCATCGCGATTAGTCGATGCCTGCGTGGAAGTTGAGGGACTGCTGCTGCTCTGGCTGCCACCATTGGTTGTGGCGGTGGTCGGCGCAGCCTGGTGAACGTGGACGCGTTGTGGCCCGCCGTTCACGGCACTGGCATAAGTGGGAATCTCGCGTGTGGATACCCGCGGCTGCTCGAAAATGTGCGAGGGCGCCTCGGGCTGTCTGTTCTCCGGCGGCTTAGCGCTGGCCTTGGAGTCGAACGAGGCCAGCGAGTCGTTTATATTGTCCGTCAGGTTGGAGAAGAAATTTTGGCACGATTGTTTGATGCTGTCAATGGGATTGGCCTGGCCACGACCCGGACTGTTGGAGGAGGCGTTCGATCCACGACTCCGGTCCACCTGGGCCACATGCGTGAGTACGAGGCCCACCAGTTCTTCTTTTTCTGTGGGGTTTTGATAAGTTTTAATTTCTTGGATTTCTTGTTGCCTGTGTCAATGTGTGACTCACCCAGACAGCCTTCAGTGGAGATGTGTTTGGACTGCAGATAGAAAATCAGGTCCTTGGGCTTGAGCTTCAACAGATCCGTCCTTAAAAGTGGACGCTGGGCAAAAACAGAGCATCGCTGGCACCTTCTGGCCGCAATGCAATTGGCACAGTAGTAGCGTCTGTTTTTTTTGGGGAGGGTTCGGAAAACAATCCATGTGAATCCCCGAAATCCGGGATGTACATATGTACCATTAATAAACGATTACTCACTTGCAATCGAAGCAAGCGCGCTTGCGACGAAACACCGTGAATTCCACGCCGCAGCTTTCGCAGGGCATCTTGGTCGCTGCAGCTGCTCCTATCGACCGTATCCTTGCACTGTATCCTTGCCCTTCCTGGCCTGCTCCTCCTCCTGCTCCTGCTCCTGCTCCTCCCCCCTTGGCCACCTCACGCCCACTGTGCTGGCATTGCATTTGTTTTTCAATGTCAACGCCGTGAATCACTGGATGGCCCGCACTCGGCACACGGCTAACGGCTATCACTTCCACCTGGCGGGGATTCGGGTTAGGACGCCGGTAATCCAATCAACACTGAATCATCGGCGGCGGGCAGCGATCGCAATGATTTTTATAAATTTTTATCAGGCAAAATAGCAATAGGGCGAGTTGCAGTGTTACCAGATGGCGAAACGTTTTTTTTACCAAATGCCCTCCCCCCAACCTTCTGCCCAACGATTTCAACGTAACAAAATCCTCCAATATTGGAGGTATATCAAGATATTCCGTTAATGGTATATGATTTTTGGAATCGGTGTCGGATCGAATTACGTTTTAAAGAAAGTTTAATAAATGTGCACTTTTAACAGTCAAACATGGAGCATGGCTATTAAAAAAATAAATTTCATAATAATGGTAAAAAAAAACGCAATAAATTTACATGCTCTTTAATTAACTTTTATATAATTTAAATATGCTTTCAAAATCTTTCACATTTTATTTAAACTTGCCTCCTAAAAAGAATTCCCTCATAGAACTCACCCTAAGCTCAAAAAAACCGCTAAATATAGGGGGAAAGCCCCTAATCTAGCTTTTTTCTGAACAAGTTTGCATCTAGCTTAAGTAATCGCTCTGATCTGCCGATAAGGCAATCGATAAGTCAGCTGTTAGGCGCAAGATTTAAATGCACCCGTTTTGAATCTCTTTAATTGGTCTCAACCACACCACACGACTGGAATCCATATAATTAGCGATCTCAATTAACTCACCAATACAATTACTTTTTTAGTTGTTTTTATTTAATTCACATCCACTACTTACAGTTAAGTATGTAATTGTATGCATTTAAATAGTTAAGTGCCATAAAATGTTGCAATCTTTAAAATAATACATCAATTAATTGCTAAGTATTATACGGTCTGCCTTCTGCTACGCCTTCAAGTCATTTAGTTATATACACATGTGGTTTCCGATGATTGAGCTTTTCCGAAATTCTTGTCGATAAGTCTTTAATTACATAAACAAATGCGTCCGTTGCTCCGGCCAGAATGTTGGCCAGCCATAATAATAAGAGCTGGCTAATGATGGCAGTTGGAGTCCGTCCTCAAGCAGCGCCAGCACCGCATCGTTCGTTTTCAGTGGCCACTGGTGTTTTTAGGGAAGGGGGGGTAGGGGCGGGCGATCTTAAGCAGCAGCAAGAGAGAGCGAGTCGTCAGTGAAGGTGAAAATGTACATTCTTTAATTTCTATTGGCGAGTTGAACGTTGCTTGGCCCTGAAGAGACTGGAGACTGCTACTACGACACGACACCCGGATCCTCGGCCTTCACGTGGCTCTGCAGGGGATCGTCGTTGTTGTTGTCGTCGTCGTGGACGCCCGAGGACACCAGCGCCCGGTTTTTCTCGTAGTCGACAAAGTCGTCGAACAGACTGGGCCACGCTTCGGTGTCGTCGTAATTTTGTATATCACATTGTTCCGTAAAATTGAGGTACATGTTCCATGTATCCTTCGGTATGCGGCGAATATTCGGGTGCTTTTCGAGGAAGTGTATCCAGTTGGAGAAGAGATCAGGTGTTTGTACAGTGAACACTAGTTTCCACAGGTCGATGGCCATCTCCAGGGAGAGGACGCGCTGATCGGGCTCCAGGCCGAAGCTAAAAGCAAGAAACGTTACGTATTTGTATCGTTAAAGTAACAAGAATACATACCGAAAGGTGAAGCGATACAACTGCTTGAACATCTCGGCATCCGCCTTGAGCATCTCGATCGTCTGCTCCAGCCGCACACGAATGCTGGCTATTGTGTCTGCCCGCATCTTGTGCAAGCCCTCGATGAACTCCGCCTTGGTGAAGCGGCACATCTGCGAGGCATCCAGGCACCAGGCCAGGACGAGTATGGCGAACTCATCGGGCTGATAGTTAAGGTCATTGCACAGGCGCTCAATGCCGTCCGTGAGTATCATGTCCTCGTCATCCGGGTCTTTGTACACGTCGTATAGTTTATTCAGCGCCTGATGCGACACCTCCATGGACTCCTTGACGGCTATTTATTTGTTTACGATTGCATGTGAAGGTTTAAAATCGAATGAGTATTCTATTGAAGCAACGCCGCCAAACACTGACTCACCCGTTGTTATGATATCGCTCATGGTGGGCGCACTGCCATTAAGCAAACCTAAAGACTTAAAACTATTACGCTTAGTATCACAATTGTTTGCTTTTGCTGGCTTGAGTGGAGTTCGGCTAGAGAGCAGCTCATCGGTTTCTGGGCAGGGGGAAGGCAGAAGCAAAGGGTTAGACTTTGGGTTAACATGGATTCTTAAGTGGCAAACACTCACCGAGGGCGCAGCGCTCGTTGGCATTGGGATTGGTGCCCACCGATTCGTAGCAATTTGCAAGGCTGGTGGTCGTCTGGCAGGCGTTTAAATTGTGTGAATTGGGGGACAGGGACGAGGCGTTCGTTGGCATCGATTGTTCGGCGGCAGACTGGAAGCATTTCAGGCAATTGCCCATAGTGCGGGCGTGCTGGGTGCACCTGGCCACTGGCCACCGGCTGGGGCTTCTCCTCCTGCTGCTCCTGGAGTTGCTGCCCTAGCAGGAGCACGCGATGGCTGCCAGTTTCGATTTGGCTACGGCTGACACTTGTGATTTGTCGAGGGCGTGGATATCTGAGGTCTGGTCCTATGGCTCCTTGGGGATATGGGTATTATATTTATTGGCTGGGCATTGGCACTGTGGTTCCCCCGTCCAATCCGATTCCTACTGACATATGGTAGTGGCGATACCGAATCGGATTCCAAATCCAAATCCGAGTACGAGAACGATTTCGATTCTTTGTTGCTACTGCGATTGCTGTTGTTATTTTGGTGCCTCCTACGCAAACGCACACTTATACATATGTGTATACATGTGCAGTTTGCAACTGCAGTATAAACTGCCACCGAATCGCGCTCGTCTGGTTTATTGGTCGTTTTTCTTACATTTTCCGTGCACCTTGCTCAAGACGTTAGTTAAACGCAAATAATTTTTAAATTTTTATTTATCTCGCCTTTTTCACTTGTATTTTTCAGGGCAATCGGACCAGGGCGGCACAAGACAACCAGGGCGGCACTGCTCAAAGGTGGTTGTTAGCGATAGTTCGTTACGATTTCGTGTCTGGCAATGCCCTATCGGTGCTCAATAACTGAGAGAGAGAGAAAAAGAGAGTCACAGTGGAGCACAAAAAATACCGTTAACAGTAATTGAAACAAATGTACATTTACTCAAATAAAAACAAAAATTATTTGATTAAAATAACATTTTAAACTTAAACATAATATTTTTCTTTTTGTAGAGGCTTATTTTTATTTGACTAGTTTATAATCGGTGAGTATATAAGTAATTAAAATATATTTTAGCCAACAACCAATTATTTATTCTTTTATTTTATTTTTTTATTTTATTAAGTTCTCAGGTGGGAAATCGTCAGCCGATTAAAACTTTTCTCGCCCACTGTGCGTAATGTGAGCGCCGAAGTTTGAGCTAAGTTAACAATTTCATTCAACAACATGCAGTCGGAGCGGTAGAAAGTGCTTCCGGGTAACTGCTTTTGGTACGTGCATATTCTAGCGATCGCTGAAGAAAACTTTCGGTTGGCTAAAAAGAAAAGTGTCAAGCTGCCCAGTGGGAAAGAAAATCCTGCATGTGAAAAGCGGTCTTGAACGTGGACAGTAAACCCGCAGTGAGTTTCAGTTTGTTGTTTATTCATGGGCAAGAGTAGTGTGTATCCGTGGTAAATGGTTGACTGCCTCGATTTTCGGATTTTTAGGCAATTCAAAAACCAGCCAGCAAGGTTGACTGAACTTGGTAGTTGGTATACCGTATGTAAGCCAACTTCGTCGTGCAGTAAATGGTTAATGTTTTGTGTGTGCGTGTGGGCCTGTGATTCTTCGGCGTAAGCCACACTTTTCTTTTTCTTTTTTTTTGGATTATTAATTCACAACGTGTGAACGTTAGTATGAGTGCTGGGAAAAGGGCAAAATGATAAAGCTTTACGAATATCTCCCAATCATATTCGTGCTCATTTTAATTGCCCAACCACGGTAAACTCATAAAAAAATTGAATGTGACAAAACTCATCAGCATTTGATAGATATAGCACTTAAAAAAACATTTCATTTGGGTACAATCAAGTCAGCTTCAAGTTTTGAATTAAGGAAAAAGGATTATCAAAACAATGTTAATACAAGTTAATAAAAAAGTGATAAAACTTGTTTTAACAAGGGCGATTTGGAGCAATACCAAAGTTTGTGGTTTTGGCTAGATACTTAGGATCTTGAGAATAAAGGCCATAAAAGGGGTTATGATATTCACACATTAAGTATTTCCCAATTTCAACTGATACTAAAATTTTCAAAATTTAAAAAATATGCAAGCTATGTTTAATGTTTTAGCTCTAAAAAGACATAATCCCTGTGGTGTAGATCAAGAGTAGATCATTTCTACCATAGCCGATCTCTTCTTGGGTATGTTGACCATATCTTCCAAATAGCAGGCTAGCTCATTGACATTTTCCTCGTCTGGGTTCCGGTACAGGTCTCCTGTTCCTTCATAAAGGAGGTCATCCTCCAGCTTTCCACACTCGCCCATTAAATCCTTACAGTCATAGGCACTTTCAATGGTTTTGCCGGAATCGGAATCGACACATCGCTTCAGATTTTCGCATTCGCTGATTAAAGCCTTCATTTCATAGGCTTTACCATTAACTTTATTTTTACTTGCAGTTTTCACCCAGTTAGATTCCTGTTCCTCTCCATTGCTAATATTATTTTGGACCCAATCCAGTCCCTCCGCTCGAGCTTTTCCATACAGACAGTGAAGCCGAGGCTTTCGGAGAAGATTCTTTTGCTTCATCGGTTGCTTCTTGACACCTGATTCTTCCCATTGAGTGTTGGGACCTAGTGCAAGTTCTTCACTGGGATTCTCAGATAATTTCATCTTGTGCACCTCAAAGGATAACTTCAGTAAAGACATCTTTATGTTTAAATTTAGCTAACGAGTAATGCGTGCAAATGTGTCTGGTTTTGTTCGTGTGACCTATATTTGAGTATCTTAGACAGGGGAGTGAAGGGAATGGGAAGTATTTTCAAAAGCCTATTTAGAAGATCTTATATCTCTTTCAGTTCGATTTGAGAATTGCCACCGAAAGTCTGATTGAAAGATAACATAGACGAGAATGTCTTCGGATCGGTTTCACAAGTGAGTACATGCAATTAATTTAGCTCTATCTTATCGCCTTTGGAATGCACAAGACTCATTAACTCTGCGGATCTCTTTTTTCAGAGCCGCCAAAGATGGGCTGTTGGATGTGTTGGCTGCAGCCACCCGTAAGGACACGAATGCCAAGGACAATGATTCCATGACGCCGGTCATGTGGGCTGCATTCGAAGGACGTCTTGATGCTCTGCGTCTGCTGTGCGGAAGGGGGTAGGCAATGGTTTTTCTATGGTCTAATTTTACCTATCAATCTTTTCTTGATCTCTACCAGTGGTGACCCCGACAAATGCGATCAGTTTGGGAACACAGCTCTGCACTTGGCCTCCGCCAAGGGTCATCTGCATTGCGTCGATTTTTTGGTCAAATTTGGAGTCAACATCTATGCTTTGGACATCGACAAGCACAGCGCCAAGGATCTGGCAGCTATTAATGGCAGGGATGAAATCCTACGCTATTTGGACGTGGCATTCACAAACTTCGAGGCAAATGATAAGTAAGACAGCAATGTCCTTTTAAAAAAATTAAACTTTTTTAGTTTATTCTTCTTCGTTCACTTATGTAATTTTTAAATTTCAGAAAGAAGTCCAAGGCTTTAAAGGAACTAGCCGAGAAAAACTGCGAGAAACGTGTGCGGGAGTACATGAAGCGTCAGCAACAGCGCCAAGAGCCCGATTACTCCGACCTCAGTCCACCGACTGGCACTAGCAAGTCCAGCAACATGCTGTCCACTCTCAAACAGAAGATCTGGTCCAGCCAGGGCAATCTGAACAAGCCGCCGAGGGATTCGCCCCCTCAGCCTGGGCCCACAAAGTTCAGCGATTTGGTCGGGAGCGGTAGCAGCAGCAGCGGAGGCTCCACGATAGCCAGTCGAGCGGGAACGGTGCAAAAGAGACCATCGCAGGTGCAGAAGCATCACAGCAGCACGTGTCCGCACTCGAAGAATTCCGGTGACTCGGACGGAGGTTTCAAGGTGCGCGAACTGGAGCCGGATGGCAAGCGGACAATTACCTCGCTGACGGGTCTGCAGAGGGACTCCGAGGTGATGTATGTGGGCACTTTTAGTTCCAACGAGGAGAGCATCGGCAAGCGCGGCAAGATCAGCGATGTTTTCGAGTGCCTGGAAGGCGATGAAACGGATCACAATGATAACCGCAGTGGCTACAGCTCGGCATTGGCGCGATCTTTCTCGCAGCCGGACATTCTGGGCGATGGTCAGCTAGCCCAGGAGTTGAGCGAGGAAGTGACCCTGCAAAGACCCGTTGGACTCTTCGACAGACCCACCATGCTGGGCAGCATAGCCTTCCGACGTTCGGTGACGGCCGCCCTAAGCCAGCTACAACTGCACACGGACACTAGTTCCACGTCCACAATGCGAAATGCGGGACAACCGAAACCACGAGTCGGTGGAAAGGGTCGCCTCTATTTAAACCTCTCGGATGATACGGACTCCGAGGGTGGCGGTCAAGATATTTATAGCGACGATGACGATGACGATCGGGAGGCCGCCGGTAGTGCCTTGCAGCGATTCCTGGCCGTATGGGCGCTGGAAGAGTACCTGCCAGTGTGAGTGATCTTAAGATAATCCCTGCTAGTAATCTAGTAAAGAGCGTCATTTATGAACTTGTTTTGAACGTATTAGAGAACAATTTTTCAAGAAAACCTTATTGAATCGCGTTAAAAGTTAATCTTATTCTTTAACTGATTTATGACCGTATTTATATGTGTTGGCCTTTTAAAAATGTTATTAAAAGAATACTTTTTTTTTCAAAAACCCACAAATGCCGTAAATTTGAGTATCCCAAAAATTGGGAGTAAATAAGATATCATTAGTTTATAATCTTATCAGTATTATATTATATAATATTCAGTGATTAATTTGAACTAACTAAAGTCTAATTTTTGTAAAGAACTCAATGTCCAATAATGATATCGACCCTTGGTCTTTAAGTAATTAACTTTAGGTTGCTATTTCCTGATGATCTCATGCGAACCTTCCTATTACTTTGCAGATTTCAGAAGCAAGAGATCGACCTGGAGACCCTGATGCTGCTCACGGAGTCGGACCTCAAGTCATTGTGTCTGCCGCTGGGTCCATTCCGTAAGCTCACCTTCGCCATCCAGGAGAGACGCAATGCCTTGGCCAACCCGGGTCCCCTGGTAGACAGTCGACTGTAGTTTTGGCATATTCATTCTATTTTGTCGTAATACTTTTACAAGTTCTATTAGCCTAGTGTACATACTAAATTAAAGACTACAAACTATCACTTCCATGCCGCTGTGTTAGGCCGCCACCTGTTGCATCAGGTAGAGATTGGCGTAGATACGGTTCAGGGTCATCAGCTCGTCGTGGGTGCCGTGTTCCACCACAACACCGCGTTTCAACACGCAGATCAGATCCGCATTTCGCACCGTGGTCAGGCGATGGGCGATCGTCAGACAGGTGCGGCCGGATCGTGCCTCATCCAGAGCCTGTTGCACCACCTTCTCGCTTTCCAAGTCCAGAGCCGAGGTGGCCTCGTCCAGGACAAGAATCTTTGGGTTCCTCACCAGCGCACGAGCGATGGCGATGCGCTGCTTCTGCCCTCCAGACAACTGGGAACTCTTGCCCAGCCTGGTATCGTATCCTTGGGGCAGGGCACTGATAAAGTTATGGATATTCGACTTCTTGGCCGCCTCAATGATCTCCTGCATGGAGACATCGTCCCGGAAATTATTGCCATAAGCTATGTTCTCAGCAATGGTGCGATCGAAGAGCACTGGTTCCTGGGAAACCAGACCCAGCTTGGATCGCAGTGTGTCAAGTGGAAAGTCCGTGCTGGGCACTCCGCTTAAATTCACGGATCCCGAAACAGGATCGTAGTAGCGGAGCAACATTTGCACGCAGGTGGACTTGCCGGAGCCGGAAGGACCCACCAGAGCCACCGTCGTCGACTTTTTGATGGTGAGATTGAGGTCCTGTAAGATAGGAGTACCCTTCCTTGTCGGATACTCGAAGCCCACATTTTCGTAGACAATGTCTCCCTCGGATTTCTGCAAAAATGATAATACATGAGGTTTAATTAGTACAATTATTAAAGGTAAATTCCAAAACAAATTAACTTAAAACCAAGATCATTGTTTTAAAATTCTTCAAATCAAGATTGGGAAATAAAATGTCATTTTAAAAAGTTTTTACAAGATTGATTGGATAATAATTGTGTAAGACATATTTCTTAGACATCAATAACAGCCTTCAAATCTTGAGAGGATTTAATAAATGGATTAAATTAAATGAAAAACAAAATTTAACAAATGCAAGAATGGTTTTTTTAAAAAGGAAAATAACATAATTAAGCTTGGAAATCTTGGCTGTTTTTAAACTAACTATTAAACAAATATTTAATGAAAATGTAGCTTACCTCTACTGTGTTGTAGGGATTCTGTGGCGGATTGGGCTGCGTGGAGGTGTGCTTGAAGAGATCCATCAGGCGTCCGGCGGACAGAATAGCGTCATTTACATTGGGGGCATAGGCCAGGGCCTGTCCCATCATCCAGGAGCCAAAGATCAGGGCCTCGGCCACCTTGATGACGTCCTCATAGTTCATTCGCTCCTCTGCCACCAGTATGCCGCCATAGTACATGGATATGCCGTAGGCCAGGAAGGGAGCCGCCTGACCCAGAGCGAAGACCAGACCACGGAAGCGAACCTTCCGCCGGCAGGCGACATCCACACGATCGATCTGCTGGACGTACTGATCCAAGACCTGACGCTCTAGGCAAAGACCATTGACCGTTCGGATATTGGTAATAGCTTCCACGGCCACCTGGGAAGCCTCCTCGATCGAAGCCTTCGCCTTCTGGGCACTCTTCATGATGAAGCGACCCTCAAGGTAGACAGACAAACAGACCAACGGCAGCGTGACCAGGGTGAGGAGCGTTTGCTGCCAAGAGAAGACGAATCCGACGACCATGCCGACCACCAAAGTGGCCACAGCCTGCAGCATGGTGCCCACACGAGCTCCAGTTGCCTGGAAATTTGGGTCAAGTGTTAGTTATATACATCTTAGTTATATGTTTCTCTTGCCCCGTAACTCACCCCCTGAACGTTGGAGCAATCGCTGGCCAGGCGGGAGCACAGTGCTCCCACCGAATTCCGTTCGTCATCAAAGTAGGCAATGTCCTGACCCAAAATCGTGGCAAAGGCCCGTTTCCGCAGGCGCGTTGTCATCTTGACGCCAGCCGCCGTGAACATGTAGGTTTGGAGCATATTGCCCAATCCGGCCATCAAGCCAATGCCCACGAAGATCATTGAGATTTTCAACACCTCGGATCGCACCACATCGTCGTCGCCGTTCGATAGGATTCCGAAGAAGTCGCCGAAGAAGAGACCCCACAAGGGGAAGGTGGCACCATGCATCACGGAGGCAATACTGCCCACCACTATGAAGCGCCATTCGGGGGAGTTGAGTTTCATTAGCTGCATAAAGGACACTTTTGCCACCACTTCCTTTTGCTTCTTCTTTTTGCTGCGACGCTGCGAGCGACCTGTTAAAAGTAATGGCATTCATTAGATATACATATTACATATTTAAAGCTCTTGTCTAAAGTTACAAAAATTTGTTAGAGAAAGATTAGCGAATTAAATATAAGACTAAATATGATTTTATATCTTATATGCCCGATAATTAAATTATTCCACTCAGTGCAAATGCAGAAACATAGGAGGTAGTCTTATAGTCTTTTCTTATGTTATATACTATCTTAAAGAAGGTGTTATGAATGTGTCAAGCGTAGTAGAAGGAAAAATTAATAATCCCCAATATTATCTCTTAAGTTTTTGCAGAACAATTCGCTTTACCACACAGAATACAAAATTGTCAGTGACAATTCGAC